TCTGTGAAACTGAAAGAACACCGATGGGAGAGTCAGAAAAGGTGGATTGTCGTTCTGCCCTGTCCAGTAGGGTAGCCGTTAGCCATGCATGACTGTCTAAATTTAATTTACTAAAGATTAAATACAATTTTAAAGTTTAGTTTTTCAGTCTCATTACCCATATTTCAAGTGTTCAATAGCCACGTGTGGCTGTTGGCTACCATATTGGGCAGCACAGATTATAGAACATTTCTGTCATTGCAGAAATGTTGGGCCGCTCTGATCTATTCCATGGTATAACTAACATTCATTCTTTGACCTGAGGCACATTCCTTAACTCAGGGTTTCTTAACCTCAGCACTGTTGACGTTTTGAGAAAGATAATTCTTGATCGTAGTGGGCTGTCCTGTGCCTTCCAGGGTTTTTAGCAGTATGTCTGGCCTTTACCCACTAGATGACAGTAGCAGTCCATCAGTCGTAACAACCAAAAATGTCTCCAGACATTGTCAGATGACCCCTGAGGGAACAAAATTGTCCCTGTTGAGAACCACTGCTGTAATGGCTTTAGATTTGGATATAAGTGTCCTCCGAAACTGAAGGGTTTGAACTTTGCTAAGAGGACCCTCCCATTTAGTATGTCCACAGCCATCTAGCTGCGTCTCTGATCAGGCACCACTTTCTTGACTGCTCGCTAATGCTTAATGCGTATTGCCGTACTGACTAGGGGGAACCAGAGATGATATGTAGGCATGGTTTCATGTCCACGAGTTTTGTTGGCTTCGAAGTCGCCTCGACACCCAGTTTTGTCCCTCACCCACTCAGCTTCTCAGAAATATCTGGTTTTATCATAGCTTGAGTCATCTGTTGAGTCCTTGAATAGAGGTATTCATGTCAACATTATTGTTGCTTCCAGCACAACCTGTGTAAGTGCTGTCACTCTGCTCACAGTTCTATATGGGTTTTGTCTTTAATGGGCTTCATTTTTTATTGAACATTGGCCTTGATTTGTGGGATTCAGAGAAACTCACTAGGGCCTTAACTGGACTGTGAACTCTTCGAGAGCAGAAACCCTGTGTTATTTCTCCTCAGCACTTAGCACGGTGCCTGGTGACATTTGACAAGTGGTGTCTGAATAGATGAATGACCATACGTGTTCCGTGGGGGAAGTAACATTGCAGTCTAAGGACCGTGCTGCCCAAAAGTGTGGCCTACACACAGCAGCATCGGGCTCACCTGGGAGCTTGTTAGAAGGAGACTTTCCAGCCTCACTCCAGACCTATGAAATCAGAACCTGCCTTATAACAAGATCCCTGGGTGATTTGTATGCACATTAAAGTTTGAGAAGCACTGGCCTCAAAGAACCTCTAGTCCGTTTCCAGCCTTTTGCAGTCATATTTGGAATTAGGAATGGCCGACCAGTTTGATATGTTCCTTAGAACGTGTGTTTCACATGTTGCTCAGAGACAGATACTGATTTATTTATCAAAACTTCACCAGCATTTTACATGTCTTGAGCACTTTCTGTGTGTCAGGTACATATGGAATATTGTATATGTGAATATATTCTTCATTTGGCTTGGTCAAAGTGACCCGCAGCCAAACGCTATTAATTAACGTCACCTAGGCTGCAGACGCCTCATAAAACAAGGGTCAGAATACTGGCAGTTATCTGTGTGGTGTAGGTGAGTCAGCTCACATGCCTCAGAAATGAAAGTGCTCAGTCCTTAGGTTCTTAGGTAAGTGGTCCCTCTAAGACACCCTATTTCTTGAGAGGCTGCATAGCATAGTGGTTAAGAGCAGGCTCTGGAGCCAGACAGCTGGAGTTCAAGCTCCCGTTTACGAGCTGGGCGACCATGGGCAAGCTAATTAGCCTCTCTGCCTCTGTTTCCTTATCTGTAAAATGAGAATAATAATAGTACTCATAGGGGTGTTTGAGCTAATGTTGTGAAGTGCTTAGTGCAGTACTTGGCATGTTACAATTGTTACATAATATGCTATATATATAGAATTGTTTTATAACTGTTTTAATTATTTAAAACATATATATTACATAATTGTTATCTATCAGTAGTGCTCTCATCACTTTTTGATAGGCAGAATAATGATCTCCTAATCCCTGGAGCCTACGAATATGTTACATTACATGGTAAAGGGGAATGACGGTTGCTCATCAGCTGACCTTCAAATGGGAAGATTATCCTGGATTATCCTGGTAGGCCCAGTGTAACCCCAGGAGTCCTTAAATGGGAAGAGGGGAGCAGAAAGAGTCAGTGTCGGGTGATGCAATATGAGATAACCTAACCAGTCATTGCTGGCATCAACAGGAGGGAACCACCATCCCAGGAAAAGGTAGATTTCATTCTGAGACCTCTTCTCGTGGCTTCTAGGTGGCTGCCATTGCACATGTGTGCCTGCATG